TGTGTGTGTGTGTGAGAGAGAGAGAGAGAGAGAGAGAGAGAGAGAGAGAGAGAGAGAGAGAGAGAGAGAGAGAGAGAGAGGGAAGAGGGGATGAAGGGTTTTTCGACGGTCGACCGATCGCGCGTATTTCTGTCCTCCCTGTCGTGCCTCGACGAAGTTAAATACTTTGGGCTCCTGGAGTTCTCCCAACTTGCTGGGCAGTCGGTCTTCCTCAATGGCGGGAGGTATTTTTGAACAGAATCTCAATGACTGAATGGAGGTTTGGCATCGGCTGCTTTGGAGGGAGGGAGGGTTTCAAGAACTCGATGGTTTTCCATCGCCTGATCGTATTTTTAGACTCAGCCGTCAGATCTCAAGACGGTGTCGCGACCAATCAAGGCAAGGCTGGCAAACCAGATCTCACGACGGTGTCCCGACCGGTCGTTGAAGTATACTGCAGAGTGGATGCAAGCGAGAGTCAGTCGGACACAGCAGTATCGCGTCCGTTTGTTCGCTTCAGGGAGACATGTGTCGGGATCGCAAAAATATGGATGTAGTCGGCGCTCGACGGACAGGGCGGCCATTCAGGCGGCGGAGTGTTGCATCTAATTTACTAAAGTGAATACGGGAGGGAGGAGAGGAGATTTTCCTTGCCAGTCTCTTGCTCTTTTTTCCCCCGTCGCTCACTCTTGGTCTCCCCGCGTTAGGCGCCCACCCAGCAGGAGAGGAGGATCGGAGGAGGATTTGGAGAAGGAGGAAGAAAGAAGAAAGAAGTGGTAAGGACGAAGTAGAGGATGGTGCTGTGATGCATGTGGAAGAAGAGGATCAGGACAACAATCCAGTCACCGGCATTCTTGCTGCAAGGCAGGATTAGGCAGAGAAAGAACTCTACTGTCGCGCCAGCATGTGTGCATGTGGAGGAGGGCGAAAGGAAGGAAATTCATTCGATTGGTCGTGAATCTCCCAACAGTCTTGTGCTCGATGATAGGTATGTGATCGGTCGATGGATATAGGTACAAACAGACATACAGGTGGAGGGTTGTTCACACACACAGAGAGAGAGAGAGAGAGAGAGA